ATATGTCGTGGCGTATGCTAGCCGTACGCTTACTAAGGCCGAGACTAATTACACCGTCGCCGAGAAGGAATGTTTGGCAATTGTCTGGGCCCTTACAAGGTTCCGACCTTATTTGTATGGCCACCCATTTGATGTCATCGCCGACCATCACGCACTATGCTGGTTGTCGTCATTGAAAGATCCCTCAGGACGTCTCGATCGGTGGGCACTTCGCCTTCAAGACTACGACATCCGCGTGCTGTACCGCAATGAAAGGCAACATGCTGACGCCAACATTCTGTCACGCTCTCCCTTGCCTGACGACAATGCCCAAAACTCAGCGTCTTAGCTTGCAATTTCTTCCATTGGCATTCATACCATTGCTTCTGAACAGCGAAAGGATCAATGGATCGCCTCACTGATAGACTTGCTGGCTGACCGATCCACTCCATCCACTCGCGCGTTGCATCGTCAAGCCCACCATTCCGCCGTTCGTGACGACCTCCTCCACAGGTGCAATTACAACGGTGACGGATGCCAGTGGCTACTACTCATATCTCGCAGTATGCGCTCTGACATATGCGAGTTCTTTCATTCCGATCCACAATGTGCGCATTCCGGGGTATCGAAGACTTACCACGGCCTTCGCCAACGGTACTTTTGGTGCGGCATGTACCGCTACGTACAGAAATTAGTTCGCTCGTGCATAGATTATCAGTGCCGAAAAGCTTCAACGCACCTGTCACGGTCTGCAACCTCTACCTTGCCCTGCCAGGCCCTTGGGGCGCGTTAGCATGAATTTGTATGGGCCACTTCCACTCACGTCGGTTGGTAACCACTAAGCCATTGTCGCTGTGGACCACCTCACGCGATACGCCGAAACGGCCGCTCTCCCCGCGTTTACAGCGAGCGATGTGGCTTCCTTTCTGCTCCAACGATTCATTTTGTGACACGGTCCACCCCAGAAACTGCTCAGTGACCGAGGCCACATCTTCCTGTCTGAAGTCGTTGAAGCCATTCTTAAAGAGCGCAACGTTGTTCATGGCAAAACTGCTGCGTACCACCCGAAGACGAATGGCCTCACCGAACGCTTCAACTATATGCTCGGTGACATGCTCTCCAAGTACGTCGCTGCCGATCACACAAATTGGGATTCCATTCTACCCTTCGTCACTTACGCATATAATACCGCCCCTCAGAGCACCACTGGCTTTTCACCTTTCTTTTTATTATATGGAAGACACCCGTCGCACATCATCGACACAATACTTCCGTGCAAGCCAGATCCGTCTGAGTGGGCGCCTATTTCTGCCACAGCCAAGCTTGCTGAAGAGTGTCGAGAGCTTGCAAAGACCTTTACTGCGCACAATCAAGAGCGGCAAAAAAAGCATTCACGCTGTCGCCAGCACTATTACGCCCAGGTGGAGCGCTCGTCTGGCTCTCGATCCCTACCACTGCAACTGGCCTATCTTCAAAACTACTGCCCAAATACGAAGGCCCCTACCGTGTCGTCAAACGCACTTCCCCTGTCAACTACTTCATTTAACCAATCGAACCGTCCTCGGACATGCGCCGTCGAGGACGCTACATTGTTAACGTGGAGCGCCTCAAGGCCTACCATGACCCGCTCATTGTAACCACCTGTTAGGTCGCCAGGCGGCTTCCTTTTCGTACCCGGGTAGTTTTGGCAAAGCCTTCGAACAGTGGGTTGTCCTCTCCAGTGCCTTCTAGTGGGTCGCTCTTTTCATAGGAAGAAGAGCAGCTCGTGCAGATCTTCACGAGCTGCTCTTCGTGCGTGAGTGCTGAGTGCTGACTATCGTCAGCACTCACGCAATTTTCCCCCTTAGCGAAAGAAGGCAGCAAGTTAGAAAGGATTCGAACGCCGAATATGTGGTTTTAGTTGAGAGACGTTAGCGATCTCGGCACTTCGGCAAAGCGACCAGGAGTCACGCTCACAACAGCGATGCTATAGTTGACGTCACCTGTTTGTTCCAGGATGGTGTATGAACCGAGATATTGATGAAGGAATTTTTCGCATAGCCCAGGTGCACTAACAGGTATGGAGAAGAGAACTTCGTTGCCTAGGTGGAACAAAGAAGAACTCGATGATTTGCATCAATGTATACTTTTTTCTTTTCCAGAATGATAGCAGTGTTGACGTGGGCAATTTCACGGCAGCGGGCGACGCGAGCGGTGAACTCTTCCGGGAGAGATGAAGATGGAACGGAACATGTGGACAGAAAAGGGAGCCCAGAACAAAAGCCAGTGCATGGCCATAAAGAAAAAATGGGCTGTAATTCTTCGTATGCTGTATGGCGGTGTTATATGCGAACTTCACGAAAGGAAGTATAGTGGTTCAGTTTTTGTGATTAGGTTGAGCATATGTGGAGATCATTTAAACGAAGTTAGGTCAAAATGCTTGGTCAGACTATTAATTTGCGGATGATACACTGATGTGGTCTTGTGGATGGTTTTGGAGGCCTGGAGTACTTCAGCAAAAACATGTGAAAGAAGTATCACGCTACGGTCACTAAGACGTACGCGTGGGGCACCTGGCGTAAATATTGGTGTGAAGGACTAAATCGGCGACTTCAGGGGCAGAACCAAACGGAACAGGTGCCCGCTCCACGCAACAAGTAAGCTTTTTCACTGCAATAACAATCCAACGGTGACCAGCGGGTGTATAAGAGGAAGAGATTCGTGTAAGTATATGCCAACGAATTCGAAGAGATTGCGTGGGCACGGCAGTGGTTGCAATGGCCCCGTGGGTAGAGACGTTTTCGGTGCTGGCATGAACTGACATACTTGGCGACACAAGTGGAAGGCCAGGCCAAAAGCATTGAGTGCAGGTCATACGTCTCGTGAAACCCTAAAAGACCAGCTCTTAGGTCGTCATGAAACGTTTGTACAACTTCCACACCAAGTTAAAGAGGAATGACGGGACCCATTGTTTACCGAAAGAATGGTAAGTTTGCCGACATAATATTTTATTTTGAAGCTTGAAACGTGCAACCTATCGTCTTAGGCGGCTGTTTCAAGCACGCGATAAGCCAGTGAGCCCATCGATGATGGTGCGACAGTAGTATCGGCCTGTGGGAGCGAGGCGATATCTGTGGACGAAAGGAGGTCCGCTTAGACAACGAACTTTTTCAAGCCAGCAGCCGTCTGCTTGATCACTTTGGTGGTCAGTGACGAACAGATAAAAGGTGACACTTGGGCACTTGGCGAGAGTGGGCAGGCCGACAAAGTGTCGACCCAACCTATATGTGACAGTGTAGTCAGAGTCCTGCAATCGTTGCACCCTGCGGCCAAGGCGTCCCGACAAACTTTTGAGAGACGATAACCAACACAGAGCATGATGGTCCATCACAATTGTGAAATGCTGGCTGTATAAATAAGGGTGAAACATTTGTATGAACCGCCATCACTGTTCATCATTCTTCATGGCACTCTTTGGCCAAACATGGCCCTTGCACTAATAAAACCAATATATCATCATCATTAAATGAGAATAAATATGTCTCTTATTCCTGCCATGACCAGAGTGCTTAAGACGTTGTTTCTTGCCAGTAAATTCCCAGTTTCCATCTTTCGGAGAGTCACTGCACTTCGCTTTGATGACGGCGATGTTACTTAGTTCGACCAATTACTCGTTCATTCAGTTTCTGTAAAATTTCTGAGCCTTCTCATTTCTGAAAAAGGCTAATAATCTGGTCTTCACTTTGAGCATTCTTTCGTATTTCGTAAGGTTGTAAAGATCTAATTCTTGATTGATGATTGATATGTAGGGTTTAACGTCCCAAAACCACCATATTATTATGAGAGATGCCATAGTGGAGGGCTCTGGAAATTTTGACCACCTGGGGTTCGTTAACGTGCACCCAAATCTGAGCAAACGGGCCTACAACATTTCTGCCTAAAGATCTAATTCTTCACTCCACTAACAATTCCTGGGAAAAACGTGGTTAGGGCCGGGGAACATAATTGTACACGCAAATATTATTATTACGTCTGGGTATGCTCTTTGTTTAGTAGCGCAGGGGTACCCAGTAACTAATCAATTGAATATTAGTTACTGAACTTACTGATTAGTGAATAACTGAATCTTGGATTTCACTAATTCTATTTTATGATAGATGGCTATGAATGCTCCCGATTCATTAAATCTGGGCAGACCTCCAAGGTAATTCGCGTATTGCCATGCTTGTGTGATTTCCTAATTATCAGCGAAGCTTCCGTTCATGAAGAATACGTTCAAAGAATATGATCAATAGTGTTCTGCTGAAACACTCCGGTTTGAAAACCATCATGATTTGCCACGCTGCTATTCAGCAATCATGAACAATATGTGACTGTTCTTTTCTGAAACTAATATGTGACGTTGTTTCCTGAAATAGTTCGCTGGTGTTTTTAACACCCTAGAAATCCCTTAGAAACGCTCAGGGAGAGCATAAAGTATCAACTGCAGCCTTGCGTTTTATGAGAGATGGCTGTCAGTAGCTCTTTCATTATTGAGTCAGTGCAGAGTTCCAAGGCATACGCTTATATCCCTGCCCGCGAGATTTGATAACTATCGTGAAGTTTCAGGTGACCAAAGATTAGGTTAATAAATATGAAAGATAGCATTGTGCTGAAACAGTCTGAAACACTTGAACAATATGTGGTGTTGTTTATTCAAACGATACGAATTAATTTTAGAATGCTCATCAGAAACGCCCATTGAAAGCATGAAGTGCTGACTGCAGCCCTCCCGTTACCCTTCATTGTTCTTCCGCAAAGCAATGATGACTGATATCATCTTCGTTCTGAAACTCTAAGTGGGCAACGATTTCAATGTTTTATCAAAATACAATAAATTGATTCAGAACCAACCTCCCATTGTCTTCCCAATTACTGGTTTTACGCCATTCATTGAAACTAAAGTGCTGAAGTCCGTCGCTCCACTTATCTCACAGTGTGAAGCGCTGTCATATGCTGCTTATAAATTAAGATATCATCCTTACAGGTCAATATATAGAGGCTTTAGCTTCAGTACCACGTGCAGTCTAACTACTGAATCACTGGAAGACGTCGGTTCATCACTGTACACAGGCCCTCCAGTAAGTCTACGTTGTGAAATCGTCGCACTTTGATTCAGAAAACAGGCATGTACTTTCAGCTCCACATCACGTCTCATCGGTTGGCTGGAATTGTGTCGGATTTCACTGATTGGTCGCTGCTTTATTGGAGGATTTACTCATTAAGATGTCCATTATTCCATCGGTTGCTTAGCATTCACCGTGCCAGATCTCCTTTCGTTCTATAACTTGCTCTCGTGACGCTAAAGATTATTGTCTATTTCAGTAATGCTTCTTACTCACAGGAAGCAGAATTATTTGGATATACTTAAAGCGCGACAATTGCCTTGCAGACTGGCTGCTGTTTTCTCTCCTCATTGGCCGATGAGTTTTGACGAACCAACGCAAAATATCATTTATAAATGATCGCTTTGCAAACCCAGTGCTCGAGCCTTAGTGCACGCTTTTGTTGCAAGTGTTTTGGACTGACTTCCTTCTCACTGCATTGTACTGAGCCAGTTGCGCGACCCCATCGCGTTTCGCAGGACCGAGTAATGTTATTTTACATTTCATTTGATTTCGCTACTACCTCCTCTTCAATTCACATGTTTCTAACTTTTGCAACTGTTTATTCAGATGACTGACTTGTCATCAGTTCTACACTGATATTTTGCGTCTTTTTATGCTGCATAACTTCTGATAACTATCAACGAGCACGTGATTGATCTCCAAATCAATATTGCTTGCCCTTTTCAACTTCACTATTCATTGAGAAGTGCCTGGAGGCACGCGCAATTGCTAGGATTCACCTTAAGAAACAGCGGCAATATCATACACGGGCTAAAGCACACGACAAGGACACATATAAGGGAAAAACGCTAGACAATGTCCTCTTTTTGAGCGTTTTATTGTCCGTGTCTAAAATAGGCCAGTCTATTTCTTTAACTACATTTATTGTTCATGTAACAATTATACAGCATGACAGTGTGCTCATGCAAGTAGCGCAATTGATGTGCTACATTACTCCTGGGTTTTTTTTGCTACACTGTGAGCCCCGCTGTTTTCCAATTTAAATATCTGCGGTTTTCTTCTTGCTTTTAATACGAGTTCGCTAATTACAGTTTCGGCCAATTCGCACGTCCAACACATATAGTTGTTCATGTGAATGCAATACCTCCCGTATTATGTAACGAGGTATAAATGTGTTCTTCTTTACCATACAGAGCTGTTTTCACAATATTTACTCTGTTAATACTTGTAAAGTGGTGGTTCTGCTGCTACTTCTTCTTTTTCGGGAGAGCTTTCTTCCTGAGCTTTCAAACCACCCGCTTCGTACTACAGGTACGCGCTTTTGGGGGGGGCGGGGGGGGCTCTGCTTTATTTTTACTGAGGCCTCACTGGTCCTTCATAATCTGGGAAAACAGGCTTATGCGTGTATGGCTGCCAATAATAAGCCGATGTGGAAGCTCAATGCCTTATCGCGGAACTCTAACAGTTTTTTCTGTCAGCCCGCTATCTGTATATCTCTCAAATACCGGCGTATAGCCGGAAGCAGTGTTCTATTCAGAAAATAAACGCAAACGCAACCGATAAGCACCACGCATTGGACGAAACCTCTCACCAAGAGGGCAATGCGCGGAGATATCAGCCGCGAAAAACCGGCAGAAAATCGGTCCACTTGTACAGTGTGCGAAAGGCACAGCTTTCTAGATAACTTGAGCAGGGCTGCAAATGATTTTCTACAAGGTATCACTGGTACAATGGCGGGTCACAACTCATTCCACACATTCAGCTTACGTAACGATGTTGCCCATACCTGCGCAATAGTAGCCGCCTCGTCACATAAAGTGACTTTACACTTCCACTTGAGGCCAACTCTCGCCGCATCTCTCGAATGATATTGAACTTGATTAACAGTTCGATTTTCATACAAGATAATCATGTGCACAAGAGATAATTAAGCGCAAGAAAGTACATGGAGCATAACGTCTATTTTTCCCTTCTTATGACAAAGTAAGTTGTGGCAGTCGCTTCTTGAGAAAATTTACGTGTAGCACCTATGAGAATAATGCAAAGCAAAAGGAATGAAAAATACTATGTCGCATAATGCGGAAATAATCCTGAACTTTCGCATTACTCACTTTAGTTACTGTCATCTCATTTCTCTTTCTTTTCCTTGACTGAATTTCTCATTTATTAGATTGCGCCATTTTGCCGATTAGTAGAGATATAAAAAAGCTCTTGTCTAGTAGTAGTATCTCTTCTAGGTGCCAGTTCGCGTCGGTAGTTTCCTCAGCCAGATATGCTTCCAGCCGTGATAATTTCGCTAACAGCAGTACTTTGCAGGTATTTCATGACCTTTATCACCCGTCAAGGTGATATGCGTTGCAAAACAAAAACAACCAGATGCCAGTAACTCGACAGCTTGATTACGCCAGACCACAATGTGTTTTCTCGTTCCCTTAGAATATAATTATCTCAACAGTATTGCTAATCGATTGCCGCCGAAATCAATCGCAACAACTCAATCATTCGTTTATTTCCGCAAGATAAAAAATGTTCAATTGAATCTCCATGTGCTATCCTTCACTTCCTTACCTTTTGGCTTCATATAATGGTGTCCTAAGGAAACGGCCCTCAATCTGCTTATATGGTGCTTTCATTGAACGGAGGGGTAGAGTGTGCGGTATATCTGAAGGTGTAGTTATTCATGTGGAGGTACCGCTACCACAGCACGGGCATGTACTGGTTAATACGGTTATACAAGTGAAAGCTGTGGAGTAGTTAGTGACCCATAGTTATACCACGAAGACACTGCACTACATAAAGCGGGTCACTCCTCTTGTCAGCTAGAAAGCGGAGCCATTCCATTAACAAGCGTAAGATATTATTTGCACGTTTCTTGTGGCTGTTGTCTGCTCGATGTTCTTTCACTCGGAGGATTCGTCCTAGGAGTGATACTAGCCTCTTGCATTTTCTTTTTTTTCCGTTTGAAGGAGTCCTTGAGAGAAATACGCCGTTAATTGGGGTGTGTCCAGATTCAATTTAGGTGGACGCTAAAGAGCCCCAGGTGGTCGAAATTTCTGGAGGCTACCGCACAGCGTTGACCACACACTACACTCTTCATGGCTGTGGACCCTTCAGCCAACCTACGGCGGCTTAACAGGCAAGTCCTCTCTGCATACCTCGAAGGACTCGCTCCAAATGAGATTAAAGACGTCAGGATCAACTCACGGAAGAATGTTCTGGCAGTTGATGTTTTACACCGTAGTGCGCTGCAAAGCCTACAGAACATCTCGGAAATCGACAGAGTCACAATTAAATCAGTGATCCCCCCTTACTGTAAGGGCAGTGTTGGCGTCATTTGTGACGCGGACATTTCCATTCCCACTAACGATTTCCTAATCTTGATAAAGCCAGCTACAGACGACATCCTCACCAAGCACATCGCAAGGCTTGGTCAGTCACGATGCCTGAAGATTGTTTTTGAGGGAGACAGTCTTCCCCCACACGTCAAAGTTGGCCACGTTCACCACCAGGTCCGTCCATACATACCGTAGCCCCTACAATGCTTCAGATGTTTCAAGATAGGACAAGACAAAGGAGTGTGTACCAGCAATGTCGTGTACCCGCAGTGTGCCGAACATCATTCAGAAGACACCTGCCACGCAACTGCGTTCAAATGCTCCAATTGTCATGGCGCTCATGAAGCGTCGTCCAAAGATTGCCCACGAGTGCGAAATGAACGCGCGGTGCTCAAACGCATATTCCGCGACATTTCAACGCACAGGGAAGCCGCTGCTACTGTCAGACGACGTCGGCGTCAACACAGAAGATTATCACGCAATGTGACATCTGCCGATAGAGACACGTCTTCTCAAGCAAGAAGAACTGGCCACCCATCGTCGAGCTCTGGGAAGACGCATGCACCGAAACAGAATCAGGGTCAAGACTCCCGCCTCGTGAAGAGTGGCCATCACTTCCACGAACACAGCCTGTTTCAGAGGTGCATCGAATCCCGCCAACCTCGATGCCATCACGAACCACTGATGAAAAGACAACTGAGGATCGCCAGGTCATCAACATGTTGCAGACCCTTATGAGCACAACGCGCATGCTCCTAAGCTACATGAACACCCCATCCGCGCAGAGCGCACTGCAAGTGCTGGACACTTTGAGTCCGGTGCTTGCAGCTCTAAGGTAAAACGATAGCCTGCAACATGTTATCCTTTCGAGAGGAGGTCAAGAACGCATCTGTCCTTCAGTGGAATTGCAGAGGCCTTAGGGCGCGTATGTCCGAGTTCTGGCAATATGTATTGACGAACCAGTTCTCCATAATTATGATTTGTGAACTGAACGTCAGCTCAGATGAGACTGTCGTGATGTGAGTGCTTTATGTCTTCTACCCACGGAGAGCGCAGCGAGGTCGTTGTTTTCATACGGCGCGATTTAACCTATGTTCATCACCCTGTACCCCCTGACGAAGAAAACCAGTACATTTGCCTAACAGTAAAAACAAGAAGACCACATTCACCATCGTCGGAGCCTACTTAAATCCATCAAGTCGTCTAGACCGTGAGCGCTTGCGGGAAATTTTGAATTCAACTCTCCAGCCATGGGTGATAACTGGCGACTTCAATGCCCACCACTACTTATGGGGAAGCACCAGGGTCAACACTAGAGGTACACAGTTAGTGTCTTTCGTTTCTGAATGTGAACGTATCCTCGTGAATGACGGCAGCCCTACTTCTCTGCGTGGATTGGCCTATAGCAGTTGCCTGGACTTCACTTTCGTCTCACGCTCGTTCCGCAGCAGAGTGCACTGGTTTTCTGATTTGGGAACAAGGGGTAGTGACCACATCCCAACATACCTGAAGATTGACGGCTCTCCATGTCTGACGTCCTCCAGAGCCGTCCAGTGGACCGATTGGCAAAAATACAAGTTAATCATGGAAGACCATGTTGGCGCCTCACCTTTCATTGTAGAGGACGCAATAAAGAGTTCCCTAAAGTCAACGACGCGTTCGCTTCCGGTGAGCTCA